CTCTACGTGATCAAATAACTTACCCTCTGAGAAACGATGAAAAGACTAAACATGGTGTGTATTTTAATTTGTATTTTATTTATTATTTTATTGATATTTTTATTTATTATTTTTATATTTATATTTTTATTTAATAACTTTAATAATATTTTTATAATTAGCAACTGATGAAGAAGTACGTACTGTACTAGCGATGGTAAATCTTACACATCTAGAACAGTTATTATTTAGCTTCGATGCACAATATGGAATAGATTGGGATAAGATGCTAAGTCCGGGTGAACAACAAAAATTACTGTTTGCTAGATTATTTTTCTGGAGACCTGCGTTTGCTGGTAATTATTATGTCATATTTTTTTAAATTAATTATTATGTCATATTTTTTAAATTTATACATTTGACTGATTTGATTATGAAATTATTAATTTTTTTTCAACAGCGTTGGACGAATCAACAAGCTCATTAGATTCATATATAGAATCGCAAATTTTTGAAACATGTAAAGATCTGGGGATCACTACCATAACGGTATCACATAATAAGAATTTATTAAAATATCACGATAAAGTGTTATTATTGGATGGAAAAGGCGGTTATTCTACTAGTGATATAGATATCAATGGATGTGAAGATGTGTGGAGGTGGATTGATGAAAATTTGAGACTTTAAATTCTTTTGTTAACATATAAGGATAAATTTTATATCACGGGTAGGATTCATTCATAGAATGATCTACTCATTGTACTCATTGTATCTCATTGCTACTTTTTTCTTTGTACTGTTTTTTTTTTTTTTTTTTGTAATTGGGGAAAAAATTAAAGTACCCTTCATTTTTCAGCATTTGCATTGAATTGATCGAACGATTCTATTTGAAGAACAATTTTACATTATATTTCATTTGTAGAGTACTTTTTATTTTCTTTGTTTTGCATTTTGTGATTATTTCGAAAATTTCCAACGAAATAAATAGTTTTTTTTTTTTTATCAGTTATTGTACAGTATCATAAGACTTCATGAGGAACTACAGTTCACTACGTACGGTCTTATAAGTGTATGTACGTGCGTGTGTATGCAACTTACGTACATTGTACGTACGTATGTAAAATTGTAAAATTTGAAACAAATGAACTTACCGTTTTTGTTTTTGCTAACTAAATCTAATCTCTCATTATAACGTAAGTATACAGTATTCGATTATAGTAATTAGGTGGGGGTGCATAAAAAAATATACTCGCATTTGAAACATTGTCTAACAGATGCATTATGTCAGCCTTGCCAAACAAAAAATTTTTAACTTTGAATTTTCTATATATATAAAATAGAATTAATTGTTTTAAAATCATGAATAATAGTGAAGAACAATGGGTTTTTGATATTATACATGTTCATTATATATTTTACAAAATCCCAAAACTTTGAGTGATATATTATATATATACACTATACATGCATTATATATATATACACTATTGACTATATATATATGCAATATAGATATGATATACAGTATAAAAGTGATGGTAAATCACACACACTGTAAATCACAAAAATTTCCGTGTTTCTGACGTGCGTAAGTACGTACGTACGTACATAAAAAAGTACGTGCTTATCTAGTTAAAGAAAATAGATATGAATTCGGATACTTTACAAACAATTACGCATAATGTCGATGATTCAGATATAACTTCCGAAACGATTCATCATAAGTTTATGCGACAGGCTTTAATCATTGTAATAATATTTTTCTTTTAATCTATCGTTAGTTAGAACAATGTCAAATATTCTTTTTATAAAAAAAAATAGGCACAAGAAGCATACGATAACAAAGAAGTTCCAGTTGGTTGTGTGTTTGTATTGGATGGTAAAACTATCATTGGAAGTGGTAGAAATAGAACTAATGAAGCTTGTAATGTAACTATTGCTACAATACTACTACAATACTACTACAATACTACTACAACACTACTACAATACTACCACAACACTACTACAATACTACTAAAATACTACAGAATTTCAAATATATTAATTATAGTTAATTTTTTTAAAATCAATTAACCGATAGGGAACAAGGCATGCAGAATTAGAAGCTGTAGATTCAATTTTATCAACTAATAAATATACTAGTGATGTATTTCGTCGGTGTACATTATATGTGACAGTTGAACCTTGTGTTATGTGCGCGTATGCTCTAAGGCAATTAGGTATGATAAGATTTAACATGAAAAATACCTTTTTTTAAATCTAATCATGCTATATATAAAAAAAAAAAAGAAATTAAACACGTCTATTACGGATGCGCAAATGAAAGATTTGGTGGTGCTGGTTCGATTTTTGAAATTCATCAAGAGTTTGTTATTCAATTTTTATTTATTTTATTATATATATATATATATATATTTTTTTTTTTTTTAGATTTTTTTTAAGTTTAGCAGGTTGTGATATCGCAAGTTAATATTTAAAAAAAAAAAAATCAAAATTATTATTAATTAGGGTAGGGTTAGGGTTCGAGCCAGTATTAGAATTGGGTTAGAGAACACATATATACGCAAAATTAAGTCTGAAAACTTTTAATTAGAAGCCCAAGACTAGTTTACATAATGAAATTTCGAGATATTTATTTTTTTTCTTAAGTTTTCTATGATATAATTGGTCGATTATATTAACCTGC